AGGGACGCTGGGCTGGGGAGCTTTGGGGTCATCACTAATGCCTTTCACGTCAACCTGGGCTTACTTGTACCACCATTCGTTTTTGCCTCAAAAGGCAAAGGATGAGGGCAAGGAAAGGGAAGAATGGGGGTGGCTGGGAGAACCCCGGAGAACGATGGAGGAAAGCAGGGGTGTTAGGGAACAGGCGGGAGGGGCTGTACAGTATTTTCACAGCGTGCAGGGACGGATGCCCTGGCAAAGGGCTACTCTCCCTGCCCCGCACGATTAGTGTCTGGTCAATGTAACTGGGGAAGAGCATCTGCTGGCCCACCTCTGCTAGCTGCTTGGTGTGACAGATCTGACTGGGACAGGGGAGGAAACGTTTTAGACAAACCTCTTGTGACTGCCCTTGTCCCCGCTCTGGGTGGCACTACAGCTGGGCTGCCCCGTGGGTCGTGCGGTCAGAGGTTGTCACATTTGATCCTCCCTGTAGTGCTGTGGAAATTCAGCTCCTGGGAGCTTCTCCTACGCATTTTCTGAAACCTGTACAATACATACAGGTGGGGCGCAAGTCACCCATGCCTGCACCTGCCTCCCAGCAGAGCCCTGGTTTGCTGTCCCAGTCAGTCCCCCTTGGAGCTGGTGCCATGGGGAAAGCACCCCCTGCTGGCCGCTGATTCTCTGGTGGGAGATGGGAAGCGGCTCCTGCCGTGCTGGCTTTTCCCCGTGCTGCCTTGACGCATATGGTGACACTCTTTTCTGTCTGTTCCAGAGCCCTTCCGGAGCCAGCCTGTGACACCCTTACTGAGCTGAACTGTGCACCGAGGTGAGTACTAGAAATGGGGCTTCTGTCCACAACCTGTAACTGCCCTTGCTGCTTTCCCTCGGTGTGCTGCCTGACACCCTCTCCCCAGGCCCCCGCTGGCCTAGTTAGCATGGTTTGGGGAGGAGATGGCATTCCTCTTCTTATCTCCTCCTGTAAGGCCAGAAACCAGTTTCCTTCTCTGTGAGGCACTTCTGGCACCAATCCAGTGGCAGGAATGGTAAATGAAAGCCAAGGGTATTTGGCATGGGCTATTGAAACTCCCCGAGCTGGATAGCTTGTTTGGTTAGCACAAAGGATGATAGAATCCTACGTGAGAGAGACACAGAGTTCCTGTTTCTTAGCCGAAAAGCTGCTAGGGCTTCTCACAACTTTTCAGCTGGAGTTTCTGAAAGTCCATGTCTCGGAACGGTCTGCCCCCTCCTCCCTGACCCCCGTTTCTTTTTGCTATATCCCACTTGCGTTTGATCTGGAAGAGAAGGGTTAACTCAATGCATCATCTAGCTCCTCAAACCCGGCACAGTAATAATGGGGTTCTTCCCTTTGCTCAGCCTTGGTTAGCTTAGCTTGTCAGCTGTCTGGGGCAGGGACAGTCTGGTGCTCTGGGTTTGTCCAGCAGCTGTCCACGGTTCTACTGCAATGCAAATAAATAACCCCAATATAACACACAGGTTTGGGGGGAGTTTTTGTTTTCTCTTCCTCTTGCAATCTTTACGAGGATCCCGATTTACATTTCCTAAATCCCATTGACCACCTTCAGGGCTTGAATTGAAAGCTCACCAGTATGTGCTTTTCCTTCAGGCATTTTTGGAGGGGAATAGTTTCATTCCCATGAAAATGGAAGGAGGCCTTATTGACTGTGATACAGCAGAGCCTATAGGTTACTATCTGAAGCTCTCCAGATTGGTATAGAATCATAGAATATCAGGGTTGGAGGGGACCTCAGGAGATCATCTAGTCCAACCCCCTTCTCAAAGCAGGACCAATCCCCAGAAAGATTTTTACCCCAAATCCCTAAGTGGCCCCCTCAAGGCTTGAACTCACAACCCTGGGTTTAGTAGGCCAATGCTCAAAGCACTGAGCTATCCCTCCCCTGCAGCTGTCCTTTCTCTCTTTGTACCACTCCTGCTTTTCCTTGATGGTAGCGGGACCAACTCTCTGAAATGCAAATCTGATCCCTGTGCAAGATGTTTCCCAAGGTTGGGGAAATGCTTTGGCTTTTGGGTCAGTTCTGAGAGGTCAGAAGGGGTAAGAGCAGGTCTCGGTGGTGGCTGCAGCCTTTATCCTACCAGCTGCTATTCGGGAAGCAGCCGGAGGCACAGGCTGCTGGGTCAGACAGGAGGTCTGACTCTGCTCTCATTTGATGTCATGAGAGTTACTTCTAATGTGCACCCGTCCATTCCAGCGTTCCCCAGAGTCCGCTCCAAAGGCTGCATTTTGCAGCCTGCTGCACTGAAGCCAAGGTTCTAATTCTTACACCTAGAACCCGTCTGCCAGGGGTGTCGGGGACTTGGCAGCAGCAGGGCCGGGTTCGATGTCTAGCGGTTCCTGTTAACATTACAAAACAGAACCGGCTCAAGCCCTACCATGGAATCTGGGAAAACTAACCACCACCCTGGGCACGTCTAAGCGGCAATATTTTCCCACTTGCAAGCACTGAGTCTGCGTAACAAAAGAAAATGTTTGTGAAAAGGGAGAGGGAGCCCAGTATTAGTTTGGAAAAACGCTGCAATGCTTCAAAAGTAAGTGATCATAAGTAACCCCCCCACACCCCAATATCTTGGACAATAGTCCCTTGCCTCAGTTTCCCAGCTTGGGGTGCAAAAGTCTGACAGACAAATGTCCCTTTAACACGCCACTCCCCTTTCCCACCGCTGCATCCCACAAAAACAACAAGGAGTCTGTTGGCACCTTAAAGACTAACAGATGGCTGTCCAAAGTCAGCAAAGTCCCAAAGTTCATGTGGGTTCACTACCCGCCTCTGAAGGGAAGGTCAAGCAATGCCCCTGCTGCTGCTGCTGCTTGCTGCCTCTGCTCTCGCTGTGACGTTGTGTTCTCAGGTTCCACCACTCTGCCCACTTCATCGAGATTTTCTCGCTCAGCGATTTCACTGGGTAGTGGGGAACCTCACTGCTACTGCAACGCTGTCCCCACCCTAGGTGATGGTCTACGGGTCAGCCTTGGGG